AGTAGGCTTTTCTTATCTGCTCTTGTGCTAGATAAGGAAAGGCAGAAAAATATTTCTCAATTATGTCACTTTGTACCACATTTGACTTGCATAACCTAAATTCTGGAAGAAACTAAAGAAATAGTTCAGTGCTTGCCCAAGTCTGCACTGAAGTCTGGCGTGTGGACTAGAATATATAAATGCCCATGATAATATCACCTATAAACTGGTTTCTTTTTGTTAGTTTGTTTGCACCAAAGAATAAAGTGCATCACAAGACCACCTTGGCTATGCTCATTCTCCCAATATAGAGGCTCCATAGTGAAGCACCTGGTGTGGGGTATGTAAATGTAAGTACAAAGATTGTCTGGTTGGTGAGGTGTGATAAAGGTTAATTCAGACCTGGGAAGTCAACTCTTTTCATGTCTTAAATTTTACCAGGTAGGGAGGTAGGAAATTCACAGAACAGAGTTTTGATTTCTCAGTAGGACAAATCTTAAAGCCATTGTGAAAAGCACCAATGATGGACAACTGATTTCCCACTGGAGCAGTTACATTTAGAAGAGAAACTTTTTCTTCAATGAGTCTAACTGGTTTTTATTTAGTTGGATTTTTCCCACTAACTTAAGAGAATACTTCCCAGTTTCAAATCTTTATTCAGAGCTCTTAAAGGACAGTGAAATAATTGAAACTTGCATTAAAAGTAAATAAATTCTCCACATCTTTAACATTTATAATTATACCATTTAATGCTTTTTAAGATTATAATTTCTACTTGTCATGCCAGCTTTTTATGTGGACTACTGGAAAAGTCAGATGCAACCAAGCCTTATAAAAATGGCTGTGGCTGCCAGGTGTGCTGGGGGCATTCCTGTAATCCCAGTCCTAGGAAGATAGAAGTAGGAGAATGAGAAATCCAGGTCTAGCCTCAGTTTGCAAGTATGGAGCTAACTTATTCTCCATGAGACCCTGAATCAAAGGTATAATAAAAAATGAACCAAAGAAAAAGGCTAAGGAGTACTAATTTAGTTTAGAAGCCTCAAAATGTATTCTAAAATTTGAGCATACATGTTTATATTTAAAATGAAATGAGGACAGTTGTGTAATTTCTGGATTTTTAGCTTTAGCAAGTTCCTTCCTCCTCATCTAATTCTTGTCACAGAAACTACAAAGAGAGAGAGAGAGAGAGAGAGAGAGAGAGAGAGAGAGAGAGCTGGGCTTATTTCTTCCAGCAAATATTTATCAGGATTCTGTAAATGCCAACTGGTTTGTTGGGTATCAGGAGAACAGTGTGAACCACAGAGCTTTACAGCAGTAATGCTGAGAAGGGTGGAATGGTGCATTTGTTCACTTCTAATAATGTACAGAGTGTGTTAAAATGCATTCAAGAAAGTTTAAAATGATGATAATCAGTATAAGTACATCAGAATATTATTCTTATAGCTATAATCCTCAGAGGCATGGAGACTTAGAGGAATTATATTCTGCTTTCAAAAAATCCCACTTTGGGGCCAGCTAGAGCTCAGACCTAGTTGCTTTACATGTTCTATTTTCTAGAATCACTGTAGAAATCACTCTGCACATCCCCTTCCTGCTAGGGGTATATTTGCTACTTAATGAGCATTTTTTTTTCTGGATATGAAGAGCATAGCAATTGGACAGTTGTGTGTCCCTTAATAATGAGGATATGCTCAGAAATGTGACCCACATAACAGTTTTGTCCTGTGTGCACATCACAAAGTACAGTTTCATCAGTGTAGATGCTGTAGGTCTGTCATTCCATGAATGTGAGAAGTATGAGCTGCTTCTCTAGTAACACAGCATCATGTTTTATAGTAAAGCTTTTCTAGGTAGGAGTACACTTTAAACAGTGGCTATTAACCTGTGGGTTGTAACCCCTTTTGGGGGGGGTCCCATATAAGATACTCTGCATATCAGATATTTACATTACTAGTCATAACAGTAGCATAACAGTAATTATAGTTATGAAGTGGCAATGAAAATAATTTTATGGCTGGGGTCACCACAACAGGGGGGGTTGTATGAAGAGGTCATAGCACTAGGAAGATTGATAACCACTGCTCTCAAACAATGATGGATGGTTTAGCATAGTGTGTAAGCGTGCAGTACAGCCTCTTACTGTCATATCAGGTGTTAGGCACTATATTGCTGTACTTTCATAAAAGTGGCACAGAACTATGCTCATTCACACCAGCACCCCCAAAACACACTGACTAATGCATTATATGGTGGCATAACAATGGCTATGCTGCCACTGTGTGCTAAGAACGTTCAGTTTCATTATAATTTTATGGAACCACCATTGTATATAGAGATTACTATTAGCCAAAATGTTATTGTGTGGGCATGATTGAACAATAAAAACAGTCTATTATATAAAACAGCTATGTGCGAGAGTCACAAAAGAGCTAGGAAAGTATAGTCAGAGTGGACTTCTATGATTTTGAAAGCAGGGGAGTTTCAGATGACACAAAGGTCTTACAAAGTGAGGAAGGCCATGGGAAATGAGGTGATGTGTTGATTAAGTGTGCATAGGTTAAGATGGCTATCCACTAATATGGTGTGGGCAATAAAAGATCAACATGAGTGTGGACCTGGGAGATTTATAGATGGGTAGGCAAGAATGTTAAGAATCCTCTATCTGGTGTCACCTGTTCATGCTTTGGTGTTGTATATGAATAGGAAAGTGAAGCATGGAAGTGTGGAGCAGAAGGAAATTAAATCAAATTGGAAATGACCAGTAGGAAGGGGGCTCCAGTGCTCTGAGATTCTGATGAGCAGTATGAAATGGCCAGAGCATAGGTGGGGTTTCTTGTCACAATGCTCCAGCAAGCCCATCTGATTACACAGGACAGCATAAAACCATGTTCAGCTGGAGTCATATTAAGCATGAAGTACTCGGCTCAGGTCCCAGAGTATTGAGTGGAAAGATTTGGAGTGGACCCAAACTATACATTCCTAACAAATTCCCAAGGGATGACACACTGGGACCACTGTTCTAAAATCTCTCTCATATAAATGTTCCAACCCAGAAGTCCCTGAATTTGGCACACTGCATTTTCTATAAAAGCACACAATGAAAGCTATCAAAGCTGAATTAGTTAGATCCTCATATCATTTTCCTAGTTCTCTAACTTTCTGATGTTTTCAATAAACTTACCACCAAGCATCATTCATAATGTGTTCCAACATAATGTATTCCAACTCTTTCTACTGAGATATCTCCTTCATGTTTGACATAATTCCCACCCACCTCCATCTGTCACTGTTCCTATCAAATGGAATGCTACCTACATATCTTTATAATAACCCAAACATTACCCATGGCTCAAAGTGCTTCTACATAAAGATTCTTGGGGTCTTGTCCAAAATATTTTATCTTCCTTCACTAACAATTATTGTACCAAAAAGCTTTTCACTGTGCTTTGCTTTTTGATAATTTATTAATTCCCATTTCTTTATGGTAACTAAGAGTAAACACTTGACCAGTAGCATAGGCTTTATACATTTCATATCTCCCCAATAGTGTTCATCACAGCAGTAGAGAAGTTAAAAGTACCGAAGTGAATCTTACTGGTAGCATGTAATTCTCACTTTCCAATAAGGTTTATTAAATGAATTGCAATTTTCTAGCATATATCCCCCATTTATTTCTGCAGAGTACAAAAAAAAGCATCTTAAAAAGTCTTGATTGCATCATAAAGGTTGTGTGCAAAGGATGCAAAAATGCTGCATGAGTTGTCTGTGCTACCTCCCTGTTTGTAATCTCATGTATTCTCAGTGTTACAATTTTCTTTTGTTAAACATAAACATAGTGGAATTTTCTTCATATGAATATAAGGAAATGACTTTTTCTGCTTTGGTTACCTTGAAAAGTGTCAAATAAACCATTTAAAGCTTCTACTGAGTAAAAAAATGATATTTATGCAATGTCTTCCTTCTCATACCCATACTTGAGCAAAACCCAGAATTGTTTTCTATCTTTGCTGTTTGTTTATCCTCTAAAAGTTAAATTACTTAAAATATATTCTCACTATAGTCATGTCCACAGCCACATGGTTGCATCACTAAAGCATCAGGGTTATAAATGTCCTGAAATATCTCACCTAGGAGAATACTCTCTATTTAAATTATGAACTGATAAGGACATACCTTGTTGGCTTCTAGAAAAAAAAACTAACAATATTCAGCAAATATTGGCAAGGAGACAGAAAATGAGAATATTGTGTTTTTACTTCTTTTCATATGCCCTTAAAACAATGTTGGTTTGTTTGTTTGGCTTACAAATGGGACCAACAACAAAATAATGAAGGCTTTCCTCGATTTTTTTTGTTTGTTTTTTATATCTTTGGAAACTTAGTATAAAAATAGTTGATTGCTAAAATGTCCTATATATTTCCCTTTAAAAAGAGGCATGGGTTAAAGGGTCAAACAAGTAACTTGTGCTTTGGGTCTGAGTCATGATATAGCCATCCTGTTTTTCTGTCACATAACTTTACCATATCTAAGTAACATGATTTTGTCATTTGATCCTGAACTCCCAGAGAATTTTCTTTAGAGATAAATAGAAGGAAGATACATTGATCATAGATTTTAGACAGTTAACTATTCACCAAGAGTGGGGTCAGATCAATATCATAAGACCTCTGTACAGAAAAATAACAGCATTCTTCTTACCTCCTACCACCTGAGAACATAAATCAAAATGGCTACTGTTGATCATCTAGAGACCAATTGATAATTTCTCTGTACATAGATGTTGCCTTTGTTCTTGGTATTTCTTAGTTTTTTCAATAAAGAAATGAACCTTTGGAAAAAATGAAAGTTTTTGTTTGCCCTGCACATATCATTACCATTTTTGTAATGTTGCTGTTACCAAAATAACATCAAAAGTTCTTTAAACTTAAAGTTCAGACTTGAAAATGCTTTTCATTAGACCAGTTTTGATGCTGATGAGAAAAAGATGAGATACTCATGCAAAGCACGAGGTGACCACATACCAACTGCTGTCATGTAATCCCAGCGGTCAATGAGGCACATGTTGAAGGTGAGGTTATCAGATGTTTGCCCTTGGCCAACAAGTGAAATATCCTTCTCCAAGTTCTGGCACATAGAAGAAGTCCAGCCAACGAGAAACCAAAACACTACTAAGAGTATTACTCCCAGCATCCTCATGACCCTACCACCAGTCATGTATGGAATTCTTTGGGCTGTTCTTGAGAGAAACACCTTCAAAACCCTGAAAATGAAGAAGATCAAAAATGTAAAGATAAATCAAATGGCCAGAAGGAAAAATCTTTAAATAGGATAGAATTAAACATTCACATAATTATATATGATTATGACATACTACCATAAATATTTTTATAAAGTCTGACTGGAATGAATCTAACAACTGCTAAAATATGATGTTATCTTAGGGGAAGTGAGGAGACTATAGAATATAGAGGCAGTCATTAAACATATATCTAAAGTTATTCTATACTAGGGTGAATTCCAAAACTTTAAGTTCTTATTCTCATCTTTAAAACCAATATTGTGAACACAGTGTAGCTCCTGTGACAATGTAGGAGATAAGGCATCTGATGACTTATGCCAGAAGAACAATAGACTACATGTCAGCCCCATAGTCAAAGAAGGGATTTTACTTCAAAAAGACTGGTGAATGGTTATTTGTGCATGGTAAGTCCAGCATTTATGCATTTCCTCATGCCTTTAAATAACTTTACCAATATGTGAACCATTTTGAATTCCAACCACTTTAGATTGAAAAACCTTCCATTCCAATTAGCAAGTGAATAGCCTCAAAAGAACTCTGTGTTACAAGGGTTGGAAGCTTTTTGGAAAATTAATATTTTTCTAATTCTATTTTTTAATAAAAGAAACTTGCGGCCACTAAGTATACAGAATTGCTTCTCATTATAGCAGGGTGAAGTCTAAACTGAGAATGACTATATCTTCTGAATGGCAATCCTGCCTTGTTTGCTGGTCTATATTTTAACTAGGGTAGAAAAGGAGAAAATTAACTCCAAACTCTAGCTTACTCTTCATTTTTAACATCTGAAACTAACTTTAAGGGGAAACAGTAGAAAGATTGTATTAGGCTTCATGCAAGACTATGTGGTTTACAGGATATGATTTCTGTCTTCTAGGATACAGCTTCCAGTCAGGGCTAAGGAGTCCCTGCAGGATCCTGTATCTGTGGCAGTTGTGAAAATTTGGTAAGAGCACAAGATTTCTGAACAACCAAAATTAAAAAAATTAATTCAAAGTCAAATATATATTGAATTTGAGTTGCTTCTGGACATGCTTGCCCATGTTGCACAGCATGGTTGAGGTAGCTTCAGCACTGGTTCCAAACACAGAGCACTGTGAATACCGTCACACCACATAACATGGATCAGTGTTGCCAGAAACATGGGCTCAGGCAAAACTTCTGCAGAGTTTTTACTGCACACTTAGTTTTTTGCTCTTATAGAAACAATGACCTAGATATGGAAAACAAAAACGAATACAATTTTCTGCTGTCATTTCTCTGCATGTATAACATTAGTAAACCTTGGGTTGCTGTCTTAGAATATTTTAAAAATTCATTTTTGAGCTGCTGACTTGAACTTTACGTGAAAATCATAAAGTGACCTTTTTTTTCTTGAGATTAGGACAGAATTTCTGAAATGGCCCACAAACACACTTTTGCTATTTTCTACTTTAGTACATATTTATGAAAAGTTGCATTTTAGCATTGACAATTCAAAAATTAAGACAATAATCAACCTGGAAAAAATGCTGAATAAGCTCTATTTATTACATTATCAAATATGTCATCAAGATTTAATTCTTCACATAAACAACAAGCTAGTATATTCATTTAATTTGTAGTACTATGTGAATTTTCTTTATTTTTCACTTGTTTTTACTCTTTTGAGAAGTTCATACACAATACTGGATTTACATCGTTTCTACCCCTCCCTCTCCCTATCTCCAGTTTCTCCCATCTCCATCATTTCCTCTCAAATTAATGATCTCTTATTCGTTCTTTGTTAATGTTACACACACACACACACACACACACACACACACACACACACACACACACTGACTGCACTAAGTTCATTTAGTACATTCATTTATAGCTAACCACTTGGATTCAGATAACCTACCAAATAGCTCATCTCTGGAAAAGACCAGATCTCCCTTTCTCAGCCATCATTGCCTGTAGCTTGTTGTATGGGGTGGGGCCTTGTGAAATTTCCCACCCATACTGGCATATCAACTTGTGTCATGATTATGCAGGTTTTCTTTAGGTGAGCATGTTGTTGAGATTTCATGGGTACCGTTTTCCTGTCATGTCTAGAAGACAGTACATAGTTCCCTGGCTCTTACAAACCTGGTGCCCCCTCTTCTGCAAGCTTCCCTGAATCTTAGGTGTAATGGTTATGTTGTAGATGTATTAATGATGGCTGGGCACCTGTAATTATTCTTTGCAGTGTGATCAATTATAGAGCTCTGTAATAACCTCCACCTGCTGCAAAAAGCAGCTTCTTTGATGAAGGGCGAGACATACACTTGTCTGTGGATATAAAGATATGTATTTAGAATGCAGTTAGGAATTACAGTGGGTTAGGAAAGTGGCAGTATTCTCTTCTAGGATCCATGACTGTCATAGCCACAGGTAGTTGCCTGGGTTTTCAGTACCAGGCATGACTTTCCTCAAATCTAACAGGACTTAAATCCAATTAAGCAGCTGCTGCTGAGCTTTCAGGATAATCCTGCTAGTATGGTACCACTGGGGATATGTTAGCTGGTCATTGTTATGGATTGTAGGCTTCATAGCTGGGGAGGTCCGTTGATTGCTTTTCTCCCTTGGTAGCTTGCATAGCACGTTTGGGTACTATGAGTACTAGCCCTCAGAAAGGAGGCTTCCTGGTCATTTCCAGCTTGATTCTTCAAGTCCTTGTCTGAAGTGTACCATGTCTTCAGCAATAGGGTCTTACCTTAAATTTCTGGGAGGCAACCAATGGCATCAGCAATAGCTTATATTGTTTTGGGAGTCTCTTAAACCCCGATTTCATCTTTAATAAATTGTAAGATTATATGTATATCAAATAGCTGTTTTAATAAAAATTCTTGGGGCCAGTGAGATGGGTCAGCAAGAAAGGGTGTTGGCCACCATTCCTGATGACATGAGTTCCATCCCCGGGACGACCCACATGGTGAAAGGAGGGAACCTAGTCCCCCAAACTGTCCTCTGATCTCCACATACACCTTGTGGCATGTGCATACCCATGTAACATACACACATATGAACAGACAAAATGAATAAATAAACAATACACACATACATACATACATACATACATACATACATACATACATACATACATTTTTTTGTTTGGTGCTAGGGATAGAATGTGGGGCCTCAGGTATACAAGGTTTTCCCTTACTGCTGAGGCATGATTCTACCCTTCCCAATCTAATTTCACTATGACTCATTATAAGTAAATTATTGGTGTATCTATTTTACATACCTATACCTAGGTTTGTATAAGAATTCCCCATATAGAAAGAGGCCATGCATGGAAAAAGTTTAAGTAGCTCTCTGGTTTTAAAGCTTACATGGTAATTAGAAATAAGTCTGAAACTGATAGTCTTGCATGAAAGTAATACTATTGTATATAAAGTAATATTTTATTACTTTATATTAAAAGTAAAATCAATGGAAGTAATAAAGAAATTGTTACCATATGAAACAATAATTATCGTGTACTATGTGTAGCTGGTAAGTCTATTAATCTAGTGAAAAACATGGTGTTGGACCCAAGCCTTGCTGGAAATGCATACTTAGAAATGGTAGACAGTGACAGGATGTAAGGAGGTGTCTGCATCAAGGAAGCAACATAGAGGAGAAAGCAGAGATAGGTGAGTTATCCTGAGAGCAGCTGATGGAACTGCTTTGCAGGAGGAGCTGTTTGCTTCCTAGCATTGCCTAGGACTCCTGGGTGCTTTTCAAGTTCCTGTAGGAATTTTTGTTTTGTTTTTATCAGATGGAGGAATGCTGCTTTGAAGAAAATTACTTGTTACTGATGCCTTATTTCTGTGACAAAGGTGTATAGAACGATACTTTTATGATACCAAATGTTCATAAGCTCAGAAGTTCAGAGACTGAATAGTGAATGTCTCTTTCAAAATATTTCTTAATCTCTTCTCATCCTCTCGTGTGTGTGTGTGTGTGTGTGTGTGTGTGTGTGTGTGTGTGTGTGTGTGTGTGTTGGAAAGTGCAGGTGTGTGTACAGGCCAGAGGTATTGTTGGGTGTCGCTCTCCATTGTTGTTGTTGCTGCTGCTATAGAAAGGGTTCTCACTCAATCTGGAGCAAATCAATTGGCTAGAATGACTGCCCACTGAGCCTCCAGGATCTGCCCTCCCACCCTGCCTCTCAGCACAGGAGTTACAGGCACACACCTGACTTCCGAACAGGTGCTAATGGATGGATCTGAACTCATGTCCTCATGTGGTAGAGTATCAAGGCTCTATCTACCACAGCGTCGTCTCCCCAGCCCTACTAATCATATGGATTTGGATTGTCAAGGAAATCAATAGGATGTGAATTTGGACATCTTTTAATAAAGAAATCCAATTTCTAAATCTTACCAGAAATGCTTATGTTTTTCAGATGACCCTTGGGTACTTATTGTACAACCTGATAACTCTAGATTGCTATAAATCCCATAATCTCATTTCTATAGAGGAAAAAACAAACAGCAAAACAAAGCCCAGCATTCTCCCACCCCTGGTTTTACAACTTTCAAGTAAAACAAATCATAACAACAAAGTATAAACACTTTAGAATGTTGGGTTTCTTAAATGGCATAAGATGCATTTCTAGACATGCCTTAGAACAAAGTGAGGAAATCTTGGTCTGTCTTTTAAAACCTGAGCTCTTGTTAGTTTGTACTAGTTGGCCCCTAGAAACCAAAATCTAAACATGATTTCCTAGACACATATTTGTATTCATACAATGGAAGTACATTTATACACACATATACATGCACACACACACATGTATGCACATACAAACACCCATACCCAAGCAGATACATACACACATACATACATGCATGTACACATAACACATACACATAACACATACACATACACATACACATACACATACACGGTCACATATACACACACACAAAGTTTCTAATGTAAATGACATTTCTATGATCTTTCATAGACTT